CATTGATGAAGTAGCTAAAGATGATCGGACCTACGGCACTGCTCAGATGACCTCCTGAACCAATATTCTGAGGTTGAGATGGTTGGCTTCCACCAATCACAACCATCTTCCTCCATGCTAGATATTGGGGTATTCAATTGGTCCTCATTGATTAAAAGGACTGAATTCCAGAAGAAGAGTAAGTATGTGATTTTGTTGTAAATGTTGAGCTTTTCCACTCTTAGCCCCCAAAGTGGACAACCTCACATTTTTTCCACATTATACTCCATCTTCCACATTTGTGTCCACTCAAAAGGGACTTTGCTGGCTGTGTTACGCCTTCACAAAATTGAGGTCGCTGAGAACCTTGCTCCTGCCATTAGTTATAGTAAAACAAAAAACTGCAGATGCTGATGCTCTGAAACAAAAACAGAAACTGCTGACAAAACTCAGCAAGTCTGGCAGTATCTGTTGGGAGAAAGCAAAGTTAATGTTTTGAGTCCCATGACTCTTCATGATAATCCTACCATTAGTTGTTTAATTGTCTAGTACCACACACAACTGTCCATAGCGAAACTGCAGAGCTTTAATCAGTTCTGCTGGTTGCAGCATCATTTTGCTCTAACTACCTCATGATGCCTCCATTGCTTTCGGAGGATGTTTCCTCTTGTGGAAATGTCTAGAACAAGGAGGACAGGAAGTGCCAGATTTTCTGAGGAGTAGCAATCTCATGCAGGTTGCCACTTTGCCCCTTCTTTTTCCAAAGGAAAGGAGGGAGCTCCATATTCCCGAGAGGAGATTCTGATCAGGGTACCTTCCAAAATGCAGAGCTGTGCTTTCATTCTGTCAGTTCTTTTATAGTACAGACCTACAGGGGAAAATAAACCAGAGGGCCTTTCACAGCAGTGAGCTGTCATACTCAGGAATGTAAACATCCAAAATCATAGGCAGACTCATTGACAGCTGTTGTTAAAACATAAGCACATATTAAAGTGTGAGGATATAGTGATTAAAGGACAAGGTGCCAGCTGGTAGGAGGTAGCCTGCCAGATGGATAGGATGCCAAGTGCAAGCTCACAAGGGGGGCAGGAAGTGATACAACGGTGAGAGTGGGTATTGGGTTTGGGTGGTTGCTGGGATCCAGCAGCAGGGTAAGGAGTTTTGAGGACAGAATGGGAAAGGAGGCAGCATGTCCACCTGCAGGGGTGGGGGAGGGTGCGAGGTACAGAGTAAGGCAAGTGATGGTCGGGTATGGTGGAGGGCAAGGGGGTCGCTGAGGTGCAGAGAACAACAATTTCATCAGGGTTGGTGGAATGCACATCTTCCGGGGGAGATGCAGTTGAGGGTGTGTGAGGTAAGTATGGAGTCAGCTGAACAGCTATCAAGAAGTTAGACTATAGGTTTAATCATCCTATTTTTCCTCAGTGTCGGTTTCCTTCATTTTATCAGAACCATCTGAATTCTTTGATTTAAATGGAGACTTTTGGTGGATTGCAGGTAGAAACGATTGCAGTGGAATCTTCAAAATCCTGGGCAATTCCATAAAATATAGGAACAGAAATAGGCCATTTCAACCCATTGAGTGTCTGCCATTCAATGACATCATGGATAATCTGATAATTCTCAACTCCACTTTTCTACCTATCCCTCATAACCTTGATTCAGTTAGTTGTTAGAAATTTGACAGTCTCAGCCTTGAATATACTTATCAAACCAACCCAGATGGCCCTCTGCAGTAAAGAATTCCATAGATTCGCAGCCCTCAGAGAAGAAATTTCTCCTGACCTCTGTGTTAAATGTGGGACCCTTTATTCAGAAAGTATGCCCTCTGGCCCTAAACTCTCCCACAAGGGCAAACTTTTTACAAGCACCCTCTCAAGTCCCTTAAGAAAAATGTATGTTTTGGTAAAGTCACCTCTCATTCTTGTACTAATATGGGGATTCCAAAGGGTCCCCATGTGTAACTGAACTCAACTGGAATAACAACTGCCTAACCATCCAGAAAATCTGGGCCAATGTAAAAATTTTAGAAGAAGAGGAGGGAATTTCTTCCTGTCATGTGTTCAAATGTTTGAAACTCTCTTACCCAGAGTGCAGTTGAGACAGAGTCCTTTTTTTTTAAGGCAGAGATAGATAGATTCTTAATTAACAGGGGAGTTAAATCTTACTAGGGCTAGGTTAGAAGGTAGAGTTGCTGCCACGATCGGATCAGCCATAATCTCATTGAATGGCAAAGCAGGTTTGAGGAGCAAAATGAGTTTATGAATTATGAAAAATATAGTTCTCCTGCAAATGTTGGCTCACAGCACCCAATGATACTCAGGTTTTTCAGTTTTAAACTATTATAAACTGTTATGAATCTGTCTCATCCAGTACTCCAATTCTGAGGAAGGGTCACTGGACCGGACACATTGCCTCTGCTTTCTCTCCATAGATGCTGCTCGACCTGCTGACTTTTTCGCAGCAATTTCTATTTAAGTTTCACATTTCCAGCATCTGCAGTTTCTGTGTACCTTGGTCATATCACATCTGATACCTAAGTCAATGGTGACGCTTGCCCTATCATATTCTCATTTGATATACCAGGGGGACTTGCTTGACAATTTTAGAGGACAGCTAAGCGTCAACTACAATGCCACGCATTTCAGATTACACATAGGCCAGAACAGATAAAGATTTTCTTTACTCATTAATGACCAGATTGACTTATAATGTCACTCTCATCCTGAGACTAGCTTTCTATTCCAGATTTCTTAAAGTTAATTGTATTTCAATTTCCTTAGCTGCTTTGGTGGGATTTGAAATCATGTTTCTAGAGCATTCATCCAGGCCTCTGCATTAATGGCTAAATTACGTTATCACTATGCTACCCTTCTCACTTTCAGTTTAAAAAAAACAGTAAAGTAAGAAATGCATTAATAAAGACCCTTCCATAATCTCAGGTCATCACAAAACAATTGACACACAGTAAAGTATCTTTTGAAGTGTAGTCAGTGTTGTAACATAGGAAGTGAGGAAGTCAATTTCCACAATGCACACTCCCACAAACAGCAATGTGATAATGGCAAGATAATCTGCCTGTGTGATATTGATTGAAGGGGATACAGGGAAATCTCTCTTGGCTGTTCAATATAATGCCACAGCAACTTTTACTTTTAACTGAGGGAGCAAATGTATTAGTGGTTTAATATCACATCTGAAAAACATACCTCTGACTATGCAAAATTCCTTCAGTAGTGCCCTGGAGTGTCAAACTATATTTCCTTGCTCTCGTCATCAAATGAACCTTCAACTTACATCCTTGTGATTCAGCCATTGGAGTACTACCCATTGAACTATGGCTAACACAATTTGCAGTCTTACTTCATCCTGAACTGTTGATAATTCAAGGACATGTTAGGACTAACAGCCCAGTTTCATGAGCATTTTTTAAAAATGTAAAAATTTTGTTCCAAAGTTGGTATGATAGTTGATATCAATTTAATTTGCAGCATCATCTACTAAGAAATTAATTTTTAGGATGAATATTGAAGTAGATAATGAAACCTGCAAGGATTTGTATTCTCAAATTCAATTAAACCATCAGGTGAACAGGAGGAATTTTCTCTCTACTTTGGTGAAGGCGGCTGCAGGTAATTCTTCAGCTCAAACATCAACTTTTTTTTATTATCAATAACTTTGCACCTTTTTAATGTTAATTCAACTATCAAAACAACAAAAGCAATTGTAATTACACATTAATCCAATTTACCATATCACTTCATCTGTGATAAATGTAAGTGTAGAGTTTGAACTGTAAAATAGATTTAGTAGACAGTGACTTCTGGAAGCAGATGTTTTTTCTTTAATTAGGAATAGTGGCAAAAGCAGACAGCTGGAGCACGCTTGAGCAAGTTGTCTGATGTTGCGACTTTGGGTGAAGCAAAACCCTGCAGTTTCCCTGAAATTATAATGGTGGGATATTTCTTTCAGTTAATATTATCTAAAATTCAGATGGGCAACCTGCGCTGAGAATGCTAGAATGTTTATAGTACTTCCTTTTACTATTCATCTCCTGAAATCAATAGTAAAATTCAACACATTTGTGGCACAACAATAAGACACACTTTACTCCTATCCTTTCAAATGGACAAATCGGTATTACGAAGGGTCCAATTGTTTTTATGTTTCATAAATTAAATTCAATAGCTAGTGACGGTTGAACAACGTTTAGAAAATCCTATAGCTATAGTTGTACAAATGCTGAAAGAGAGCTGCTCCATCTGTCTGTTCATCTGCTCCAGGCCATTACCACAATCTGAGGCTTTTATCATTATACAATTAAGTGGACAGACCTTGGGTCAAAGAGGATGCATTAATCTTGGATCACTTGAGCATACTGTTGTTAGAAAACATATCTCTCTGATTAGTGACACAGCTTGATCTTGTCACAAAATTGGTGCCATGGAGAAAAAATGGGGTGGGAGGTGTGCAAAATCTGCAGTTATGTGAAATGCTTCCATCAGCACAATTTACTATTAATCAGCATGCTGTGATTAGACCAGTTAGAAGAGCGTTAGTAAAATAAATGCAAATTCAAAAGTTTTGCTTTTTGCATTTTATATTAAAAATAGATAATTAAAGTATATTTTAACAAGAAATATTTAAAATTTTACATGTGATATCAGAGGACTTCCATATTGCACTATTTCACCAGCAATATCAGCTTTATTCATTTAATTTGTTATATCTTAATTTGCATCAAAAGTTTTGTTGTGTGGCAGATTGTCCATGTGCAAATACTCCTTATGCAGACATTCTGGAGACTGGCTGAACTATCAAAAAGTGATCGTGGAGGAAGAGTGCAGTTAGATTATGCTCCTGAGCCATTACCCCAAAGTTTAAGCCAATTTGGAATGCATCATACTGGGATGCATTTTCAACCAGACCATTGACAAGCAAGTCACATCTGCTATATTACTACAAATCAAATGAGATTCAGTTACTTTGTTCAGACATTGACAACAAGATTTATAATGTACCTGGGTAAAAAAGGGTTCATAGATCTCAATTCCCTTGTCTGATCCCTGTGATAGAATTTCTCTTCCTCGACGCCAACTGTATCGGACAGGGGGATTTGAATTGACTGAACACCTAAGGAACACAGTTCTTTCAAAGTAAAACAATTCCTTTGCTTCACCTATACTGTGATGTATCGTCAGTACAGGATCATCCAAATCTGCAAAAGACAAAAAGAAAAATCTTCAGTTGAGTTGCACAACTTTTAATATCCATCATTTTTAATACTGTTTATGGAATTTGTATCGGAAATATTAGGTGAAGTGTTAGCTACAGCATCAGAAGCGGAGTACTCATTTAACTTCCCGATGACATAAACTGATGGGGGACATATCATTATGTTTTTCTGCTACTCAGTTTTATGAAATTTGTGTTTAAGGTTACTAATGTCAATGGCAAGAAACATTTTCTATTTGTTTCGAATCCTGTCAACAACAAACATTCTCAGGGAGTGACCAACTTTCCCTCAACTCTGTCAAAGTGTCTCAGTCTCAATTCCTGAGAAGTGCTCATGTCTGCGTCAGTCTAAGATTAAGTGCTCCGTGGCCTTTCTAAGCATATTTTTCAATTTAGATTTGATCAACATTCAAGTAAAGGTAGATTTTGCTGTAAGACATAGTCACTAGATTTAGGCAGTTCAAACTGGACCCTAAGAGGCTGTAACTAAGAGAGAGATTGAAATCAATGAGAATGCACAACTAATACAAACTGTAGGCATGAGCAACCTGGAGCTAATAGGCTGTTTTAACGCCATGCAGGTTCTACATAAGTTAAAATTTCACCCAGTGAAGAGGAGTTTTAACTGACCCTACCTTCATCCAAATGCATGTATTTGTGTCATAGCATGAACAGAAAATATCTCAAGTATGAAGGTAACATGTCCCAAAGCTTCCAAAACTTCCAATTTTGATAGCAGGTGACTGACCAACCTATTGCTGGAAAGTGGGTTGGTCATGGAGCTTCTTTTTCTTGCTCCAACGTTAAGTGGTGCCTGCTTGGGTTTTCCAGATCTCAGAAAATTCCAGAACTAAGGTAGGAATAAACTCCTGCAAAAAATAAGCAAGGTCTTTGCCAGCACTGCTTGTATTCAAGGAGGAGGATTGCTTCCCACTGTCCCACCAGGGACACCTTTCTATGTTCACAGCAATCAAACCGTTGTTCATGAATCAATGTTCTCCTGATGTCTACTTTGACCTGATATCCTCTCTTACAGCTCCCCTGTCATTTACAGAAATATCACAACCACTCCTCTTTGATCTTCAAGCCTTGTTGAAATCTTCTCTCCTCTTCCTCTGATTTCCCCAAGAAGTTTGTTGATGCCCCTCAATATCCACTGTCTCCCTGCTTCTGCCTGCTGTAGCCAGATGCTGAGGACCAACCTGCCCAACAGCTAACCAACAATCAGGCTGACTAAATTGAATCATAGAGTCATAGAGATGTACAGCACAGAAACAGAACCTTGCCAACCAGATATCCTCAATTAATCTCATCCCATTTGCCATGTTTAGCCCATTTCCCTCTAAACTCTTCACATTCTTGTACCCAGATGGAATCATACCAGCCTCCATCACTTCCTCCGGTACCTGATTCCATACACACAACACCCTCTGTGTGAAAAAGTTACCCTTCATGTCCTTTTTAAATTATTCCCCTTAAAGCTATGCCCTCTAGTTTGGATTCTTTACACTGGGAAAAAGACCTTGGCTATTCAGCCTTTCTAAACTCCTCATGATTTTATCAACCTCTGTAAGGTCCCTGGGAAACTGATTCCAAAAATACTAATCATGCCCTGCAGTTAAATTTGTCATGATCTCAGAGAATACAAGTTTCCCAACGACTAAACTTTGTACCAGCTGCCACTCCAACTCACTACAACTCTGGATTAATATCAGGACAATTAAGCTTTGTGGACAGTGATCATGTGCAACGTTAAATTTTATTGTGATCATGAATATAGTAGATCTCAACCACTAAATGACAGAAAATGAAATTATCTTTTTTTTTCCAATTTTGTTCACACAATGTAGATTGATGGAAGGAGTGTAAGATCCAAATTTCTCAGATTGAAATAGGTTTAAAATGAATCACTATAAAAGTTATCAATCTTAGTTGAATATTAAGGGTTTGAAATTGAGTTAAAAGGGACAGAATAATTATTAAAGTACAAGCATATTGAGAATGAAATTATAACACATGTAGTCTTCTAATTCAAGGCTTCACTGAAGAACAACATAGCCATTGAGATTTAAATAATTAACAACCACCAGCGCTGCCTATACAGCCTTCCCTGAAATCGCCATGATTCAAACTAATTAAAATGTATTGCTGGTCAATGACTGCTAAAAGTTACACAAGGTCTCTTTAGTAGCCTCTAATTATTCAACAGTAGACACAAATCCTAATTAAAGAGCGCTACCAAACAAACTACTTGCAACTGAAGCCCTTAGTTACTAGTCAATACCTGTATATCAAAGTCACTGCAAGACATTGCAGACTGACAGTTAGTGTACAAGCAGTATTATGCATTCGAATCAGAATACTGCACACTCGCAATAATCTAGTGGTATACTCATTAATGAGTACCCACTTAATTATACAAAAAATCTCAGACTTGATGTCAAACAGTTGTCTTCCCTTAGATTTGACAGCTTATCGGGAGAGGTAATGTCATGAATTCGCAGTCATGTTTTTAAGCTCTGTTACACCTTATGAAATAACTCCACAGAGGTCGGCATCCCATCACCAAGTCACCCTTTATTTACACGTAAATAGTATTTGGCACTAGTCTGGCTTCCTCAAAGCCAACTCTCAGAGTGAACTGACACTAACACTCCTGTTTATGTCTGTCAGGACCAGGTTAACAGCCCCAATCATGGAACTCATATTCTATGGCATCCATATTGTTGACCTCATTATAATCACTACACCTTTCTTTAGTATAGCACTTCAACCTGTGAAAAGGTGGAGCCCCTGTTACAGAGAAGGACCATCGCCTGCTCATCTATATGCAAGATTAATAAACCAGCTTTATTGAAGCCTCCCCAACAGAGGGAGCAACAGAGAGGGCAACATGACAAAATGCTCAGATCTTACAATATACCACAAGCCAGCCCACTTTAAAAAGAATTGTACATTAAAACATAAGATAGTACATGCACAAAATTTCCCAGAATAAAATATGACCAAACTAACAGGAACAATCTAACACATTGGGTTTCATATTTGTTTTTACTGCAGTTACAAATGAAACATATGTCACTGTGTCCAGGCATGTGCAAGCCAGGTGGATTAGTCAGGGTTACAGGGATAGGCTGGCAGTGTAGGTCTGAATAGGATGCTATACAGAGGGTCGATATGGACTCGATGAGCCGAATGGCCTGCTTCCACACTGTAGGGATTTGATTTGATTTATTATTCTGAACATTTCAAAGAAGTTGGGGGATGGCACGGTGATTCTCTGACTGGGACTTGAGGTCCTGATGGATGGGGTGGTGTAGAGGATGGGCATGCTGTTCCCAAAAGACCACTGGAGAAGGCCACGCCACCAGCCTCCTGGTACCCTGGAGGTCATCATCTTAGTCACTGCCATCTCAATGGTGTGGAATAATCGCAAGAGATGCCATATGACTGACAATAACATGCCAGGGTAACTGCCATATTCATCTCTCTGCTGTCCCACAATTACCTTTTCCCTGTTACTCCCACGTCCAACCAAGGCTCATACTCTGTCACCCTCACTGTCACCTGCAACAACTTTCCTCTCTTGTTTTCATCACCATTCATCCATGCCCCAACACCCCCATGCCCCTCTCCACGTATACCCCTCCCCCTCACCGATCTCCCATACCATGTACCCTGCATGGCCTCCGCTACTTGCTTACTTGGATACCTCACCACCCCACTTGCACCAGCCGGAAAACCCCTGCCACTTACTTTCAGTTCATTCAATCCCTCCTTTTCATTGCAGGAGGATGCAGCCCATAACAGAGCAGACATTTAACTCCTCAGCCCTGGTGAGGAGAGATTCTGGGCCCTCACAGAATGGAATTGGGATCAATTCTGTGGAGATGCCAATATATCCATGTCAAACCAACTGAGTAATTACTCTTCTTCATTCTGGGTTCGATTCCACCCTCAAGCGACTGTCTGTGTGGAGTTTGCACATTCTCCCCGTGTCTGCGTGGGTTTCCTCTGGTGCTCCGGTTTCCTCCCACGGTCCAAAGATGTACAGGCTAGGTGGATTGGCCATGCTAAATTGCCCCTAGTGTTCAGGTGTTTTATAGGGTGATGGGCCTGGGTGGGATGCTCTGAGGGCCAGTGTGGACTTGTTGGGCTGAAGGGCCTGTTTCCACACTGAAGGGAATCTATGATGATTCCACTGCAACTCCCACATTAACTTCATTGTCAGTGTCAGTCATTACACACCATGGCTTACCTCAGGTTATCACACCCTCATTACCTTTTATCTTGCAAGTGATGCCAACATCTCCACCAGGTCTGCGGTGAAATGGCCTGCTCCCCCAGAAACCACCTACTCAGGCCCCAGGCTGCCCCCTGCACACTCAGCAGCCCACATTCTGACACCTGACTGGGAACATGAGCTTTCAAATTTTAGTGAGCATAAACTGGTGAGTACCTCGGCTTCACTGCTGGCCCAGGAAGAGATACCTCAGGCCATTTGGCACTCAGAGGACTGCTGGAGAGCAGACACCTGTTCAGTGCCAGGCAGCAGAGAACCCTGTGGTGGTTGGCCATCAAGGACTTTTGCCCAGATGCACAGAGACGGACTCGAGCAGCAGACAGGTGTGTGGGACACAAAGGCTCTCACTGCCCAGAAGCTGTAGCAGTGCAGAGAGTCATGCGACCATTTGTCCATCTCTGTGGACAAGTTGATGTCTGTCATGGAGAGCTGGGGCTGCTGGAAGGAGGCCCACGTCTACACTCCGCCGTCCCACACCAGCCTTTGGTCCTCAGGATTTCTTATTGCAAACAGAGGGATGGGGAACCCGGCATGCACTCCAGGTATCCTTTCCTTACTCAGGACAGGTCAGGAAAGTCCATTGGTGGTCAGGCTCCCCAGCTTCATCCTGCCTGCTAACCCCAAGGAGGGTCAAATTGCCTCCGGCTAGCAGCCCCTCTGTATGTCACAAAAGATTCTAC